GCCATAGAAGTCTGGTCCATTAAAACTTGTGAAGGCCTCCAAGCTTGTCGAGCGCACCGCCTTAAAACATGGAAACAATTTACAAATAATCATGCAAAGCACGAGCCTTTCCTTCCAGTTGCATCTCACAGATAGTTACTATATATATCTTATCTATATACATATATATTAAGCAAACAAAAATGTATGTGACCATATCGTCAAAGGGATCACCAGGATATTTGCTTCAAAAGATTGAAGAAATAATTATGTTGCCAGCATGTAGGAAAATAATACGATTTGAATATTGAATCCATGAGGGATAAATAAGCAATCCTAGTTCATTACTGGAACTCACCCACTTCCCCAGCTCCTTAAACCCAACAAAATGTTCAAATGAAAATAAAAGAATGTAAAATTTAACACATGATTGAGGTGTTACCTCTTCAAAGACCTTGGCATAGAGTGATAGAGCGACAGGGGAGTTGTATATGCCAGCACATCCACAAGGGCATTCTTTTTTATGTCTTTCATGAGGTGCACTATCAGTTCCAAGGAAAAACCTTTTACTTCCACTAGTAACAGCAGAGACAATTGCCTGTCCTGTGAAACAAAAATAACAATAATAATAGAATGATGATGATGATGTATAAAATTATGTGGAAAAGAAAAATATCAGAAGATGAGACAAGCAATAAGAACATTTCAAGACTTGGAAGAAAGCTGCATTCATGCCACATGTAAATCATAACATTCATGACTTTTATTTAAGTAGTTTATCCAATGAATGAAAAACAAGATTGGACTGTTTGGTTCAACTAGTATGAATCCATCCAATTTGCTGGTCTGATTTATGACCTAACCTAGGGTAGTGCCAACCCGGACCAACCCAGTTGCAACCCCACTGGTCAACTTGGTCCATTGCAATGCACTTATTTTTTAATATATTTGATAAATTTAACAGTTATGAGAAGATTATGTAAGATTTGTGGAAAGTAGACTGCAAAAATAATCTTTAAATATTAGTTGTGATAGAGACTATTTCTAAATTTTGGTTAAGCTTATTTGAGCAAAATTATTTAACTTTTTATTGGGATTTTACTGAGTTTGCTAAACTTTTGTTGGCATTGTGTGACATGTATAAGATTTTACTCTCTTCATTGAATTTTTGTTGGATTATTTGAGCAAAACTAATGATTTTTTATTTAAATATTTATTTTTTTCATATTCAAATATGAATATTTTTATGCATATAAATTAAATTAAATTATTTTAATTAAGACTGGTCTGACTCCTGACTCAGGTTGACTTTTTTTGAACCACTAGCCTTTTACCAATTCAATGACCAGTCTGCTTTCAAAACCTTGAGTTTATCTCAAGTTTTTTTTAATGAAGACTGGTATAGCACCTGAAAGATGTGAGGTTGAAATTATTTATACTCCATGGCAGAAAAATACATACTGTGGATTTCTCTTTTGAGCACTGGAAGACAGTAATTGTGAGGCTGCAAGCCAGCTTGGAACAGAGCATTGCGGTTCAGAAGAAGATGCTGTGGTGTAACAGTGGCAGCTACATAACCTGACAAAAAAAAAATCATGAGAAAATTATGAAAAATGAAATAACAACATAAAAATAGAGATCATTCAACCAAATGATTAGACATACCTTCTTTGCAAGATTCTACAAAGTTAACAGCATCCATGGTAGTAATATGCTCCATTACAACCTTCAGCTGTGAAAGCCTTTGAAGTAAAGGCTCTAAAATTGTTTCAATAAAACCTTTTCCCTATCGAAAATATCAACACTTGGATCTGTGACTTCCCCATGAACCTGTAAAGCAATTAATTCAAGCATAAGGATGTAGAAGAAAAGACATCTTAGTACTTAAAGTCAGAAAAAAGACCAGATGGATAGAGGGAAACAAGTCACTGGGTGGCTTGCCAAACACCATGCAGTTCATACTTAAGCCTTCACATGTTTATCATTGCAACATGGTGTGAAATAGGTGTCCATTACATACAAAATAGGTTCATACAGTTAAAAAGGAAAGAAAGAATGAAGAAACAAAAGTAACAATTTTTCCCAAAAAAAAAGGACAAATAAGCAAGTTAAGCGAAATCATATTGGTACCAATAATGGTATGTTCTGCTGAACCATCTCCTCTAAAACAGGAAGGCATTTTCCAAGAAGATCTGTAACGCCATCTTGAGAGTTTGTGGTAGCACCAGCAGGATATAACTTCACACCATAAACAACACCACTTCTTTCTGTCAATGCAGTCAGCATCATCAATAAATGCAATATATTTATAAAAATAAAGGCAAAGGTGGATGAACACAAAAATCTAAGCGATAGATGGAAGAGCGTAAATATATGCAACCCTAGACATGCAAATTAAACTTGCTACTACTTCTTGAAAACTCATTTTTGCCATATATTTGAATACATTTCATGGGTGAATTTCTTTTAAACTATGCACGCATAACTAGACTCACTTGCAACTTTAATCTCATCAGGGCTTGTCATGTCTGTTAGGTAAAGGGTCATCAGGGGGGAGTGAAGTTGCTGTCTCTAGGCAGTGCTTTCAAGATGGCCTCTTGATAAGCCAAAGCAGCAGCTGTGGTAGTAATGGGTGGCCTTAAATTTGGCATAACTATCGCTCTTCCAAAATGCTTTGCACTGTAATGCAGTACTAGTCAGTAATCAAGATTTGAAAATCATTTCATTTTTAGGAATATAAAAGATGCCAGGAGCAAGCATTTCTCTCATTCATCCCCTAAAAATCATCAGTGTAAATGGATTGACAACAGGCCTTTCTGTTATTGATTTTAAGTGAATTTACCTGGAAGAGATTACAGATTTGAGAAGGTCACCATCACGAAGGTGAAGATGCCAGTCATCAGGTTGTGTAATAGTAAGCTCCGTCTTTGGTCCTTTAGAATACAGGCGCTTATGCGCTTCAAATTTTTAGATGAAAAGTGTAATACCTATAACAAAGATAACAAAATAGACAATAGATGAATCATAAAATTCACACAAAAGGCAATGGTGTACATAATGATACAGTCTAGTAGTTTGAGTAATGGAAATAAACTGTTAGATTGCAGAGAAACAGTTCAGCTACACTTGAAGCCATTTGAACAGAATTCCAACATTTTCAAATTGACAATGGTCCTGGAAGGGATTAAAAAGAAAATAGCGAATTTATTATTAGAGTTCAAAATCCAAACACTTACTGTGGCCATCATTCAAGTATTGAAGAAATGAGGTGAGAACACAGCAGGACGTATCACCCCCTTTTCAATACTTGTTTTGCCACAGAAGACTAGTTAAGGAAATAAGTTTGAGCTCTTGACCAGTGAAAACAACTTCACAAATAAAGTCACTAAAAGAAAAAAAAAAGAATTACTTGGTAAGGAAGGAACAAAGTCTTCATCATTCTTGATACGACAAAGCCATCATCACAAGCACTTCAAAACTTGCAGAACTATCTGTTATGAAGAAATTATGAGATGAAAGGAAAAGAAACATATCAGTACTTTGGCAGAACCTAATTATTACTTACGATGACATGCATTTCTATAAAAAGGGAAAGGGAAATAATGAAGTAAAAGAGGACTTTGTTATCAATTGCTTGCCGTTTAGTGTAATGACAATAAGCAAAATGTAAAATGCAATAATTCAACCTAGATGTGCTTCCCAATTGTTACTGGCAACACGACTAATCAAAGGCCTGAACAATAATCCATCATACAAAAGGCCTGAATGGAATGGTACAACACTTAAATGAGAGTGGTGGCCATAGGCAGACCTTTACTACACCACTGAAATCTTTGAAATATGCATATTTGATTTAATACCCTTTTAATTTTTGTTCCAGATATTTTGACACAACTCAAGCCGAGTCATTTACAAGATCATACATCACAAGTACCTTGAGAATTTCCAAGTTTGATGATAATATAAAAAGATTAATAAACAGAATGCCAATACACAACAAATCCAACATTGCAAAACAACATTATCCAAATCATACAAGTCGCTAATAATCAAAATGAAGAGGGAAGAAGTATAATAGCCAATTACACACCATTCAAGCAAACACCAGTGCAAAATAAAATAAACACTACGTAAATATTCATAAATTCAAAGGTGTCAATATTCAACGATTACACGATCAGATACAAAGCCAACTTAAAATGAAAATTTTAAAACAAGGCAAGAAAATGTGAGGGCAAAAAGCAGAGTAGAATCATTATAATTGAGCCATTGAACAATCAACACAAAGTAAACATTTGAAGAACAAGGAGAACCAATTAAGTGGGGAGGAAGCAGAGAAGACTTGTACGATTGAAAACTACTGAGGGAGTGAGGTTGTTTGAGCGATTGAGCGAGAGGGGGGCCAAGCAGGATTTCGTCTTCTACGTACGAGTTGTCCACCGAGGGAGAACAGACACTGTGACGAAGGGAGGGCGGGTAACATCAGCGACTCCGCAGCTGTGACTGAGAGATGGGGAGGCAGAGAGTCAATGGAGTAAGGATTGAGGCGCTTATTGGGAATCTGAGAGATAAACAACATCGTGAAGCGCAAGGAAGAAGAGCGAGCGAGCATTGCTTGAGGACCACCCTTTTTATTTTAAGAGGGCAAGGGCATTTTTTCACCTCCATGTTTGTTTTTTCGAAGGATTGTTAGATATTATAAAGTCAATGGGTCAATTCTATCATTTAATATTAAAAATTCGATCTTCAATGCCTTGATAGGGTCTCATATTTGAATATTTAAATTTTAACGGGTGAGATATCATTTTAATTAGATTAATTTACATATTTTTTTAGTTATTTTCCTCCCGTAACAACAGAATTCATATTATGAGTTTTAAAGATATATAAAAATAAATCATGCTATTAGTGCAGGCATTTTAACTAATACTACAAAGATGACCCAGGACAGCACGACAATGTTTCTCTTCAATAAGAGTTATATACCTCTTCCAAGGTTATTAAATTCGAGTCTCAATAAAAATATTTTCTTCTTTCAAGATTATGAAATTCATTCAGAATGTGTCCCCAATTTATTTTATAACATTTTCTTTCTCTTTATTTATTTATTCTTAACTTCTTTTATATCACTGTGCAAGTCATCTATAAGTTTCCTGTGCATACGCTGGAAATGTCAAAGATGTAAGCCTTAGATCATTTTCTAAGAACTCAAACAGCTAGAAAGAAATTAGAAAAATGAAAACTTAGGGCTGTATGGCTTCTATTTTATTTATTATTTTTAAAAAACTATTTTGTAATATAATTTTTAAAATTGTTTTTTTCAAAACAAAATTAAATGAGAATCCATTTGGCTATGTTAATTAAAAAATAATTTTAAAATTAAAAATAAACTGATAGTTCTGATTATAAACAGTTAATGATGATAAACAATAATAAAAATTAGTCAAGATAAATATAAATTTTAATAATAAAATTTAGTATATTTTAAAAATAAAAAAAATAAAAACAATCAGAAGTTGTTTCTATTTTTTGTTTTTTAAAAAAAATGAAAATAGTTTTAAAAATAATTAAATGAAAAACACTTATTCAAACAGTGTATAAATTTTTCTATTTTAAAAAACAAAAAGCAACTTTTAAAAATAGAAAACAAACAAGCTATTACTGATTTGAGAACTGATTTGGCAACAACGGCCAACAAAAATGCATCATCATTTTTCCCTAAGTAACAACAGAATTCATATTATAATTTTTTAGTTCATAATTAATCATGTTTTATAAAATTATAATTGTTTATTGTATAAAATAAGCATATATTAATTAATCTATCATATGTATAAAATAAGCACTTGACATAAAAGATAATCATAACAAAAATAATTATAAATTAATAAAGAAATGAGAAAAAAAATACAACTATTCAAAATTCAAACTATAATTCAATCAGTAGTTATATTTTCTTCTACATAAATAAAAACTTAGCAACATACTACAACAAGTATACAATCACAAATTCAATCAGTGTCATCATCCACAAATGTGCAATCTGTTTTTCAGTTTTGTGCTCCTCAACTTCTTTACTTCCCTACTCTCTTTCATCTTCACTCCTTTTTCTGTTTACAAGAAACTGTCGAGCGCAGAAAGAAAGGGGACGGTCCAGAATTCGGATCCCAAATGCAAGCTGAGTGTGGAGCATTTTTTGCTAGAGGCCATGGTCAATATTTTGTGCTCAATCAATGTTTCATGGTTACCCTTCCAAATTGAAACTAAATCCTTCAAGATGCGAACTTTGAAGAAAAGAAAAAAATTTTGGAGCGGCTATGGAGGACAAAGAATCCGATCTTCAAGAGAGAGAAGGAGGGGGGAGACAAATAATGAGGATTGAGGCTGCAGAATGTTCTGGTCAAATGGAAGAAGGCGGGAGGTAGAAATGAACTGAAGGAATGAAATGTGAAATAGTAAATCAAAATGGTCATAAAGATATTATCACTCCAAATCCATAGTACTCAAGAGATTAACTCATAAAAAAATTATCAAGTTTGTTATTTGAAAAATGAAATTTCAAGTCTTTGTAAATAAAAAATGAGTAAAAATCATTTATTAACCATTTTTATCAGGGTATAAACATGCTTCAAAAGTATAGGATATCTGAAAGGATTGAAAGGAGTTGAAAACAATTGAAAAATTTTATGTTATTGAAAATAGAGTAATGCATCATGACTTGTGCACATTGAGTTGTATCTTACCACTCTATGCAATGCGCCATGACATAGGCACCATACAACGTAGCATGTTGCATGCTCATGATAATGGAAATAGGGTAACTTTTGACGTGTCTCAATTCTCCGTTTGATATCTGAATGACATAATTTAAGTGTCTATACTAGCTAATAGCATGAGTTTTATTTTCAAAACAAGTCACACCAGAAAGTTGGACAACCAAACACAATTTTATCAATTCTCAAATTTCACAACAAAAAAGGTATTCAAGAGTGCCAAAAGTTATTCCTAACACTCAAACTATATTCATTGGACCTAGGACTACTTGTACAACACATTACAAGCACATATATAACTTTGTACCATGAATTCATTCCTCAGCCCCTTTAATACCAAAAACAGAAAAGGGGAGGTTTTCGCATTGCATTTCAAAACAATATTCCAAATTACAATTAATTACATATTTATATACTTGCACTAGTATTTTGGCCTTATCAAATTTTACAACTTAATATGAAAACATCTCAAGACCCAATATACAAACCAAACATCCTAAACCATTATATAGTCCAAGGGTAAAACAAAAATGCATCTTAATTATTTTGTCACTAAGTCTTTTAAATACATTTTGCCTAAGTGAGTCGTAAGCCTTTTCAAGCTTGATTCATCTTGTACGCTTGTGTAATTTGTCAATTATTGTTCTAAGTTTTTTGAATCATGCAATCCCTGGTTGAATGCACATGAGTTCCACACGTGATATATTATTTCCAAAATGGCTTAGTTTTGTAACTAGCCATTTCATGTATATGTGCTAGAATGTTCCACATGTGATCTGTCTTCCAAAATAGTTTGAATTTTGTAACCATCCATGCCACGCATGATAGTAAGTTGGTCCCATGTGTGATTCGTCACACAAAATTGGCTTTGGTATTTTGCCGACCAATTCACATGTGAGAATTTGAGGGTCGCACGTTTATTTTGTCACATAGAATTGTTTGCATCTCTTTATAGTACAAAACACACATGAGTTACCCTAGTGTTCACTCTTGAATTGTCACATATGCTTGATTAAAACTTGGCTAGCTTTATTTCATGTGTAAATCATTTAGTTGCACATAAGAAATGTCACTAACGGCTATAATCACTATTTCAATAATTTGTCAACTATCAAACCTATATATGTGATACAATTCAAGCCTAGAACAAGAATTTTAATCTTTAAGTGAACTATTCATCATTTGAACATTTTTAAAAAGCTTTCAAAGTTATGCATCAAAGCATTACATTCATTATTTTTCATTCTTGATAAAATTTGTGAAAAAGCTTTCACAAGTTTCTAAGCTTTCAATTATAATTAATTTACTCCTTCAAGAAAGTTCTTTTTTGAGAGTTCTATATTTTAGTTGAAATCTTGAAAAAGAGTTTTTTCAAGTAAATTATAATAACTTGTTGGTTGTAGTGAGGTTTGTATTAAATCAAGACTAGTCAATTCTTGAGAGTTGTACTGTGATTGCAAGCACTTATCGAAGCTTGTGAGTTTAGTTGAAAATTGTAAGGGTGATCTTAAGGACAGGACATAGGCTAAGATTTGGGCTGAACTGTGATGAATCTCTTATGTCTTATTTCTTAACTTCTTGCATCTATCTTTCTCTCCTTCAAGTTCTCCAAAAAAATTTAATGTCATTCAATTCATTCTCTCTTGGGTGCTAGCCAATCCAATAGCTATAACACCAAATAAGGTTCTATCTGTATGACTGGACTATCCAAACTCATCAATTGTGAGTAACGACTTGGCCAAAGATCACATGACTTACTCTCGAACCACGGTTTCCCCACTCTCGAATCTCTAGAGTGTCATATATTCTAAGCTAATATCCTCGATAAATTGGTGAAGATAACTAGATTCTAATTTCTTGACAAACTATGGGACAGTCCCTCAACAAACTATGAGACAAGGCTATACTCTCTTGTACTAAAAGTTAGCCAAAAATACTATAGAGATTTTATCTACTCCTCTCCCTAGGCGAATTCCCACCTATTAATTATGCCATATACGATGCTCACTTATTATTCACAATTTCATTATCAAAAAACAACACATTAGGCTCACACCCATGCACTACTCAAGTGAGCATCAAATCTCATTTCACATTTATCATATATATTCATCATTTTTAACCTTAACACATTCATTCTTTATCACATATTCATTATACTTCTCATTCCAATATACATATATATTCATAGTTTTGAAAATCACTTTGGATTTCAAATTTACATGTCAAGACAATACACAAATTGTGCATGAACACAATTTACTCAATCATCAAGACTTAAGGCATGCTTTCACATTCATAAATTTAACCATACATGCAAACATGCACATTGTACATTAAAACACAATGAATAAATAACTACACAAAATAAGGTTCCCTTAGTTATTTCAAACCTTTGAGAAATTAAATGTTTACCCTTCAATATTTTAGCTTCTAAGCTTGATTTCCCAATCCAATATGATGCCCAATTGCTTAATCTATAATTAAACAATTCTAATATTGTCAAGAACGCACCTTCAACTCTCACACTTCTACTTCTACAATACCCAACATCTTTAATTTTTACCTTTGGGCTTACCCATTAGGCTTATTAACTCTATTTAGTTTCCAATAACATTAGTGAGCCATTAAACCTCCATTTATGGCATTGCAACACTTCCAACAACCCTAATTAATACCATTTTAGGATATTAATGAGGCTTACCTACCAAAGATATCAAAATTCATTCTTTCTAGATTTAAATACTCCAATCAACTCCCATTAACTCCATTTGAGTCAATAGGTTTGGGCCTATAACCTATTTGGACCAAAAATCATCCCCCATTATTAAACCCTAACTAAAAACTTCAAGCAAATGGAAGAGAAT